CACCGATAAATCTGCCTTTAATTAAAACATAGGAAACCACAGATATTCTTCAAGTGGGTCTGAATAAACACATCCTGCAGCCTCAAAAGAGTTTGCTTTAAGGAAGGTTCATGCATTTATGGCTGAGTTTAAATTATTTGTTCATAATAAAGGACATTAGAACAGAAGGGAACAGACACTGCAAGCATATTTACTTTAAATAATAAACTGAGTCTGCAAATCCAACAAGAGTAAGTTAATTATTTATTTATTTATGAGGATATAATGTGGATATTATGTGTGAGAAAAATCCTGCATAGCAACATCCAAGCTGGAAATCAGCTTTGCAGACCAAAGAAATGTTAGTTATTAACAATTGATATGTCACTATTTTATTAGTTGTTTTATCATTTGTAAAAAAAAAAAAAAAATGCTCAAAAAATAAGTGATTAAACAGAAGTAAATTAAAATTGATTTAAACCGTCAGATTTGAAAGTAGAACTTTATAATACCTAGCTTTACAAATAAATTGAAACATCTTTTAGTTGTATTGTGCTATATAACAGAAATGTTTGTTAAAGAAATGACAGTTTCAAAGATACAGATGTGGACAATAACTTTAAACGGGGGAGTTATAAAATTATAAAATGTTGAAAGACCTAAAAGGCTGATAAGTTTAAAAAAGCCAGGAGTATGAGCCAGCACCTTTCTGACCTTTGATCAGGAGGGGCTGGAGCCAAACCCAGGGCCCATTGTAACCGCCCTGTTGTTACTATTTATAGAAGGCTTTATTTTACTCACTCAGTACAACCCAATGCTCAGTCCATCCCCAGAAAGACAAAGGTGCTCTGTCTCTTTGCTAATATATACAGTAGCAAGACCCTTTAGAGTTTCTTTTTTTTAAACTTTTTTAAAACTCATAAATACAAATAACCACTCATTAAACATCAACCACCATCCTACTCTGAGAAAAAGATCACAAATTAGATCGACAAAATAAATACCTGGAATAAAAAAGAAGATAAACAATTGAAATTAAACTCTTTCATGCTTTTTCTTAAAAAATATTGTAATTCGTTTACTATTTAGAGAATTCTATTTCATTATTTTACCTCTCTAAAGTACCAGGACCTCTTAACTAGAAACTATTTAGATTGTTTACTGATCTGTCGAACAGAAAGAGTCCAATAACTGAAGGTGACGTATGTAGCGTTCAGATTTCAGAACCGTGGACAGAGCCCACTTATTAAGCTGAGAGCCTGCATTTAGATGGAGGTCAGCGGCTCTGACCTGATCCAGCACCAGCTGCTCCCTGGAATAAATCAGATGAATAAGGAGGAAATGCAGCTTTCCCCCTGGGACAAGTGTTATACTTTAAAAGCAGCCCCGCTCTGCTGCAGCCTGCTCTGAAACTCTACATTCACCACACACTGGGACCGTTACACTCATCCCTTTAAGTTATTCTAACAGACATATTTTAGAGCCAAACTGAAATTGAGTTAAAATGCCAAATGCATCAGATAGAAGCAGGTGTGGATTAGCAGCGGCACAGCGCAGACTGACTTTAAAAACCTCTTTTAGAGAAATAAAAAATAAAAAATGATATGGCAACAGCTTCCTCTCACCGACAGCAGATGCGATGCAGTTTCAAATGAAGCCGCTCCTTCATTAAACAGTAGCAGGTTATTAACGCGTCAATAAAATACATTTATGTCTTACCTGGAAAATGTTTGTTCGGTCTTGTTTTAATTTTTTATCATAGGGCTGTGGAGCAAATGCTGCACCTGCGGAGACTATAGTTGGTTCCGCTGAAATGACCCGCCAGATGGGGAGGGGTGGTGCAGGGGGGTGAAGCTGGGAGCGCTGAGGAAAATTGGACTTAATGACCACCCTGTCCGGAAAGCTCTTTCAAAATAAAAGCTGCAGGAGTGGCCCACACATGTACTTCAACAAATCTTTTTTTTAACCTTTTCTTTTAAATAAACAGCTAAGTAAAATAATCCATTGATTATTATTGATACATAAATAAATATGATTTAAAATGTATAATATTTGACTAAGATAGTTGATAAAATAGCCTTGTCCAGAAATGTACATTCATTCAAAAAGTTGATCTAATTAATTATCAGTTCTTATTAGTTTCTAAAATCATACTTTACTTTGGTAAATTTGTGAATGAGAGAATGGATTTTTGGAAGGTTTTTTTATTCTCAGTAAAACTAACAAGGCCTATCATTAAAAATATATATATAATAATAATGGTATGATGGTTTCTGGAGGCACTTGATTAATGGAAAATGTTTTAATCATTATGATGGTTTTACACTTAAATAATGGAAACATGATGGGAGTTTCTCTGTAGTATAAAATCCTGAAAGATAAAATCTGTCCATCAATTTGTGTACTTGTGTTTTTATTATGCATCAGGAGAATAATCTGTAGTGCTTTAGCAAGTCCTCTCTGGATTCATAAAAAAAAAAATAATAATAATATTAAAAAAAATCAGACAAAGTAGCCATAGTCAAAATATGAACTTAAATAACTTTTAGATGCATATCACCTTAAGCAAACAGTTCATGTTCAAAAACCAACAAATGTGACTCCAAATCGGCCACTAATACCCCATCTCAGGGGTGCAAAAGATTCAGTACTTGTTTTTATCACAAACACATGATGCCCATCTTTAAATCACAATCAATTATTGAAAGAAGTCTTCAATTATTTGTTGATGGATTAACGGTTTAGTTGAGTACACACAATGTAAAACATTTTGGTAAAAGAATAACCAACTCAGTCAAGATGTTAAGCAAAAAATCTAGACATTTAGCATCTAAAATTAAAAAGGTCTGTGTATTCTAATAAGAAGAGTATGTTTTTAGCTTAATCTGGTTAAAACAAAAAAAGCAAAATAATTGTTAATTGCAGCCGTGATTAAACATGTTTATTTTTCTTAATTGCTGGTTATAAGCATCCAAATGCAACCTTTAGGCATTACACAAATAAGCAGTAAAAAAAGAAAATATTTAATTCTCTTGCAAAAAGCAGCCTTATCATTTCTTGGTGGCACACCCCGCGCCAGCAGGGGGCGGTACATCCTAGCAGTGCGCGCTGGGCGGATATACCGTCTTGATCAACGATAGTCGTTCCTTCCGGCTCCGGTCCCTTCTCAAGTGGAAAGGTAATGCTAAGCTTGGTGACAAAATCTGAATAAATCTTTAACATCTTAGATTCTGGAAGGGAATACTGTTGAGCGTTTGTTTGATTATGCTGTTCTGGATGAAAGTGCTAAACTATTTTTGTCCAAAACGTTTCATTATTGTTGATATTTAATATTTGAGTGAGGAAGTATTCCCGGCTTTGGTTATCACGGCCGGCTGCCATTTTTGTCCTCATTAAACTACTATTTTCAGCTTAATTATGTGGAAAACTTTATCTTTCTTTGGCTGTATTTAAACTGATTTAGTCTCTAAAACATTTTCCGGGACCGTTTTAGGAAACTAAAATCTGACTTGTCGCTTTGCACAGATGTTGATGCCCAAAAAGAACCGCATTGCTATCTACGAGCTCCTCTTCAAAGAGGGAGTCATGGTGGCCAAGAAAGACGTCCACCTGGCCAAGCATCCCGAGCTGGCCGACAAGAACGTCCCCAACCTTCACGTTATGAAGGCGATGCAGGTGAGGAGGCTGGACACAGGTTTCCACATTCATCGGGTAAAGCTGGGAGTAGTTAGTGATCCATCTGTAGCTGCCTCCGAGGTTCAAAATGCTAGCAACACATCCATAGAGTATCTGGGGATCCAAAGATACACCTTTTATATATTATTGTTATTGCTTGGAATCAGTCTTATGGGATTCCAGTAGCTCCCAAATTCATGGTTAGGAGCTAGCAGTGAGTTAAAATGAGTTGCTAAAATATTTAGAATCAATCCATTGAAAAACTGGAGAAGTCTGATTTTTGTCTTCATTATTAATAGAGCTGACTGTATTTGAGCCCATGTTTGACATTCTGATTTATTGACTTGTAAGCAGTGGGTATGACACAATCTGATAAATCCCAATCATTGAATGAATTCTTTAATTGATGTGTTGATGAACTAACCATTTAGTTGAGTATACACACTGTAACATAGGGGTGCTCAAGTCCAGTCCTCAAAATCTACTATCCTGCAACAACTTATGTTTTTTTGGATTGCAACCAACTTAAGATGCATTTACCGCCACCTACCAGACGAGTGTGGTCTTCTATGATGTCAGGGGGAAGTTATTAATTCATGCCTCTATGGTATGAACGAATCTGCTTATTTATCGATCAATATCTATACAAACTCACATATAAATTCATGTGTGTATATTCACGTGAATACACATTCTTTATTTAAATACGATTAAATAATCCAGTGTTGTTTAAAAATCTCACTGACTGAATTAGATTTATTTCCTAAAAGGTTTATCATTGAAAATCCAATTTTTTCTCTGTTTGGTGTTGACTGTAAATGCTGAAGTTCATTAACACATGTTCAACTGTTTCTAATTACAGTGATTACAAGTCCTTGTGTTATGTTTCCCTATTCTGAAAAGAGAACTATTAAGTCCAGTATGACCAATTCTAAGTTGAGATATGACTACCTCTTCTTTCCACCTTCCTTTTGTACAACTATTACCCACTACAATCTTTTGAATTTTACATAGATCTGTACCAGTGTCATGATTATCCCAATGTTCCTGCCAAACCTTACAGATTTAATTCTATCCTGACACTTTTGAATGTACCCCATTTTTAACGCACCTGAATTAAATGAGTGGCTTGTTATCACGCCTCTGCTGGGCTAAATGAGGGATTGAGCCTTTCGAATCAGGTGTATTTAAAAGTTGCAGGACGGTACCTCTTGAGGACTGGACTTGAGCACCCCTGCTGTAAAACAAACTAGTAAAATTAATAAGGAATTCAAGAAGTTAAGCAAAAATTACACAAATATATAGACATCTAGAATCTAAGATAAGAAAAAGGTTATTTATTCTAATAAGAACTTTTAAAATGGTATATTTTTTGCTTCATCTGGTTAAAACAAATGATGTTAATTGGAATATACTCAACAAGATAAGCAAAATAATTAATTGCACCATTAGTAAGCTGTATTTAAACCTGTTTTCTTTTCTTAATTGCTGTTATAAGCATCCAAATTAACATTATTGATCGTAATTTGAAGAACAGCACAGAGGTTAGCATGATTTAAATCTTTAACGTGATTTTTTGGAGGATTTAAAACTTAAGAGCTTTAAAAAGCTTTGTGCAGATGCATTGCATTAATTCTCCAATTAAAAGGACCAGGAAAATATTATTCTAACAACAATATTACATCTTTATTACAAGCCTAAATAAGAACATGCAAAACTTTTTTAAATGACCGTTTTTGTTTTTCCTCACAGTCTCTCAAGTCCTGTGGGTATGTCAAGGAGCAATTTGCCTGGCGTCATTTTTACTGGTACCTCACAAATGAGGGTATCCAGTACCTGAGGGACTTCCTCCACCTCCCCCCTGAGATCGTCCCCGCCACTCTGCGCCGCCAGACTCGTCCTGAGACTGCAAGGCCCAGACCAAAGGGTAAGGAATTCTTTTCTGGCATACGTACACGGTTCAACAAATTTTTGTGATGTTAACACTACCGCTATGCGCATGGCAGGAGACTGAACTTTCAGAGCACCTACATAAACCTATACACCAATAACAATGTAGCCTGTTTTTGTTCTTTTTACGCTTTTGTAAGCATCCTGAGCTGGTTATTAGCTTTTTAATTTGGACTCTGGGTGTGTCCTAAAAGCAGAAATTTAATTTGACACTATCATTATGATAAAGATCATTTAGATGATGAAACCCATTAAGCTTTAGTATTATATAAGTTTTAAAGTAATTAAATAAAAACTATAAATGTACTACAGGTCTAATTAGATTTCTTTAGTTGTTAAAATGTTATTGTAAGTTAAGTTTCAAATGATTTCATAGGCAGAAAACTGTCATGGTTTAACAGACCGAGCCTGAACTGGGCCTTTTATGTGTAGATAAATAAATATGCATCTACATTTGAAATGCTGGTTTCTAATTTATATTTATGAAGTTGTTTGGGCATTTTGAAAATGGTCTTAATTTTCATCCAAAGAGCTGTTATTGAGGTTACTAGACCGGCACTGATGTCCTTATAAAACTTCAATAAATGTGCTTGTTTAGCTCAGAAACATCAATTATGTCTTTACTTGTAAATGCCAATGGCTAAATTGTTGGGTTTTGTTTAAATGGTGATTTAAACATTCTTCTATTAACTTGCAGGAATGGAGGGAGAGAGACCCGCCCGCCTCAACCGAGGCGAGGCTGACAGAGATGCCTACAGGCGATCTGCTGCACCCCGTACGTATAAAAACACAAACCATTTAGTGTTCAGAAGTCAGTTGTGTATGTTTTATTAAATATGGTCTATTACACCAGTTACTTCATGGGCATAGTTATATCCTAATGCTTATAAAATGCAGCAATCAGATTTGTATGGAAATGCTTATATTCAAGGATATCCAGTTTGGAACTTCAACTTAGATTTTAATAGCTGCTTCAAAGATCTAAGGATATGTTATTTGTGTGAATATTTTTAATTTTAGAGGTAATCTTCTCAATGAATAGTGTAACTAGGGGGTTATGGTTGTTGCAAGCAACATTCCTACAGATTTCTTAGAAATGCATAAAATTTAAAGATGTTTTATTGTCAAGCTAGTTGATATAAATTTACATTTTAACCTGTTTTTCTCAGCTGGTGCTGACAAGAAAGCAGAGGCTGGCGCTGGAGCTGCTACAGAGTTCCACTTTGTAAGTTCTTTTTAAGATTCCAACAGTCCTTGTTGAAATATGACGGCTTCTGTAAAATATGGATGTTATGTATCTGTTTAAATGTCCATACTTCTGTTGCAGAGAGGCGGGTTTGGACGCGGCAGAGGACAGCAGCCTCAGTAAATTTGACTGTTTATTACAAATAAAGAAAATCAAAATCCATACTATGCTTGCAGGGTTTTTTGTGCTCTATATTTTAACAGGCTCAAACTAGCTGTAACAACAGATCTTTGACATCAACACAATGTCAAAATATCAAGCAGTTGGGGAAAAAATTTGAATCTGAATAATTTGACATTTAGACTTATTTTTTTAGTCTAGCTTTTAAATCAAAGGTGAAAGGAATCTTTGGAATTTTCAATAAAGCTTCCTCTGGATCTCCCAGATTCAGGTCCTTCCCTTGTAAAATCGGGATGGGAGGTGTTTGGCAAACATAGATAAACTTGGTTTAAATAGCTTCACTAGGTTCCCTAAACACTTAAAACCATATGCACCCAAGCATTCATGCATCAATATACTGCTTGTAAATGCCTTGCCCAGATGCACGTCACTGTGAGACAAGAATTGGAGAACTAAAATATAACTAATGCAATTCATTTATCTACTCATTTTACTCCTATGATACATAAATAAAAACTCCTTGGCCACAGTTAAAGTTCGACACTAAATGCATTCTGTGGAGATATCTTAGAAAAATTTGCAAAGCTGCACAAAATATCCTCAAACTGCTTGAAAATATTTGTGACATGACGGATTGATCATACACCTCCAGATTTAAAAGGTTTAAAGTTTCAGAATTTTTAAAAAGTTGAACTGTCATCACTTATCCAGCCTACTGCAGGGTCAGATCAGCTCATATTCAAGTGCTCTGTCTGCTTTTTAAGTAATTTATGTCAAAGTGCAGACGTTAAAGTTAACAGTCACATTTGAAAAGTTTCCATGCATTACTGGGTATGCATAACATAAACATCTGTAGGTCTCTAATTGGGGGGCCTGTATCCAAAATGTTTCACATAACCTTAGAAAGTGTTACTTTCAAAGTTGAGCAATTCACTCCAGGTTATAAGTTCCCCTGACTCTTAACCAAAATAGATTAGACTTCTCAGCTCTGCTAAACCTGAGATCTTGGCTCAGATTTAGTTTGTATACCCAGAGCAAAACATGGAGCAGCTTTTGGTTCTTAAGCTCTAATCTGGAATAAAACTCAAATCTGAAAGCACTGAAACCCTAAATCGCTTTAAAACGTATGTGTCATCTAGTTTTCAGTCCATCTTTTTTTTTTCTCGTCATTGTGATGTCACTTTTTTAATTAACTTTTGTCTTTTTTGCCTTTATGCCACTTCAATCTTTTACTTTCTCATTTAAAGCTCTTTGAATAGTCTTGCCCTGTAAATGTGGAAGAAATCTTACCTCCTATCCAATTTAGTTTGTCCATTTTTTGCTATATAGTTTTAAGTAGACCTAAAACTGATTAGGTCTGGAAAATAAAATATGGGTGTTGAATGTGATCCAGAATCACTGGGCTTTGGGGGATTTAGGCAGATAACGTCTCACAGCCAAGTAAAGGTTTTTAATTTTCCCCCCATTGGTCCCGATTTAAAAAAGGGAAAAAATGTGTGTAAAGAGATAATTTGTAAAGTGTCATTTTTGGGACAAAAAAAAAAACTTAGCTGAGGCATGTAATTTACTCTTTCCATGGTGGTGCTTGTTTTTTTATTTATAAACTGAGGTATGTTTTTACAAATTAACTCTATATATATATATATATACATACATACACACTGAAAAGAACATTAAAAGCTATATCTCACAGCCCTAAAATTGTGTTTTAAGTGTTCAGTGTGTGCTGCCTTGTATTACACAGCATGTTTATTGAACAAACCCAAAAAGAAAAAACATTTGGACAGAAAGACACTTTACAGAATGTGAAATACTGGTGTTTATTTGTTGGCACATTTATATTACAATCTTAAGTCTTGCTCTGGTTTTATTCCACAGTCCCAAACGATGAAAGAGAGGAAAACTATATTCCAGTGACACAAAATAAACACAAATTGTTTACAAGTACGTAACTTCCAGGCTTAGCTTCACATCTAGAAGTTTACACACATTTGTAATTCAGTTGCAAGTAATTTTGGGGTTATAAAACTTTTTTTGCAGTCGCTCAGCTGATAAAGGAGACTGAATGTTTACAATCCTCAGCTGTTGAGATGTGCTTTTAATACTCATGCCATGGCCACAAGGTGGAGCTGTTTCACTGGCAAACATGATTCTGATTCCCACTTTGGAGAAGGAAGTGATGTTATCTAAAGATTCAGTGTAAAAAAGAAACACCCTCTGGTCTGCTTCCTTCAACTACAGAGCCGGTTTTGTAAGCAGAAACACCAAGGATAAGGGGTAGATCATTTCGGCCATCTTTAATTTTTGGGAATGTGAAATTTATTGGTGAGCATTTATTTTCTCTCATTCTGCATTTCAAGACTACATTGCTTTTTATTGAAGTCTGAAGCTCAGTGAGGTTTTTCCCCAATAAGGAACAATAATTCTGAACCACAGCCAAAGAGCTTTCCTGGTTTTAGGTTGTTCTTTTACCTTTATATACAGCATTATCACAAAATCTGGTTTAGCTAACATATTGGTGGTTAGAAACAACCTGCGATTAATAATTACATTATTGGCTATTACCTATGGAAATCCTCCTCACATTCATTTTGACAGTACCCACCACTCAGATAAAAAATTCAATCGCTGCCAATTGGTCTGAGCAGCTTTTTTTTTTGTCTAATTGGTAGTCATATTGATGTTCAACAGCATATTTACATAAACGGGCTTGCAGACAAACCAGGAGGGGCATCATAAAGCAAGACTTTAGTCACCACGCCCTGCAGATGCACAGCAGTAAAACCAGTTCAAAGTCTTGGGCTGGAGGGGAGTTGACCTGATTTACAAATTAGAAAAAGGTTTCAATATCTATTTCTATACACCATGCTTTTTCTTTAGACATTTGCAAATAGCTTTCAGTTGTCAAAGCTATTTCCTTCAGATCAGTTATGATGCAGTTTTTTTTCTAGGCATATTTCTTGATAAAATGCGCAGCCTTTTGCTCTCGATCAGAACTGAACTGTTTGATTACAGATGCGGAAAACATCCACAGAATTGCCTCTAACAAGGTGCTTAAAGTTAACCATTTAAATAATTTGTAAAGATACTAAAGCCTGTTGTTCTGGCTATTGTTTGTGATTTACTAGTTTATTTGCAATGTATAAACTTCACTGGATCACTTGGCTTGTAAGTAAGTAGGTTTTACCAATATACCAGACATTTTAATTGTGGATCTTCTTTTATACCCAAATATAACGTCTATAAGAAGGGTATTCTAATAAGTTTCAACAGACAGGAAACCTGTGTTGATGTGCTTTCAGGGCAGAGAAATGCACCAAATACAAGACAACAGATTTGCTAATCTCTAATCTGAGAAGCAGCTAAGAAATTTCAGTTGCATTTCCGTGGCAGTAATTCATTATTTTACACTTGATCCAAAAAACAAACAGGTAAACCCTCGTGGTTTACAATCTGAAGGGAATCCACGTGTGTAAATCTATATATATTTATATATTTTATTATTAAAAAAAGGCTCTTTAATCTCACAACCACATTCCTTGTTCTTTAGTCTCAGGTATACTGTTTGCCATCTCAAAAAGGAAAAAATCCCAACAGCTCATAAGCCAACAAAGAAGTTTTTAGTTCTTCCAGCCGCAGCTGAAATGACACGTAGCACTCAAAGATGTGTAAGAGGTTTTTTGTCATTTGCACTCTCACCTTTGATCTATACAGAAATAAACAATTTACAATAAAAACCTCTTACATGCTATCTACAGCGCCTCCAGTTTCACAGTATTGAGCCTGCTGCCACATGACTCATCAAGACCACGTGACGCAGCTCGGCTAAAGAGACTTGCCAAACGTTAGAGAGAAGAGAAAGAATAAGTATCCAAAAGCATTTTACAAGTTAAAAACGAGGTCTCAAACTGTACAAGGCTTGTTTGTTCTGCATCTTTGCCAAAGACAGGATAACAGATCCATTACTTTCAATGTCAATCAGCTGTTCTGAGTCTTCTTGGGGATGCAGATTAAATATAAAAAAAAAATAAGGGTAAAAAAATAATAAAATAAATTTGAATAATCATGTATGTAATGAAAGTGCCCGCTAAAGTAATCTGTGCTATGGTAAGAACACAATGTAAACAATTGTTTTTCAACCAAACTGAATGTGAGGAGTAAAACACAGACATGGGTTTTAATAACTTAAGTGATATGTGCTCAATTCTGAAATGAATGATTCTTTAAATCTACTTCTTTCACCCTCTAATTAGGGGGAGGAAGACTTTGTAGTCACAAGAGTATATAATAGAAGGAAAGAATGGGATTAAAACTAGGTCAATCTATCAAGAAGGAGTTAGTTTTACATCATATCTCAACATTCTTCCACTCTCTGTACAGTTTACTGTATACACTCAGCTTGAGAGTGAAACCTGTAGTGCTTGGCTAGCTTCCCAAATTAAGGAGAAACACAGTTGACACTTGAAAGTCTATCGAAATTGAAAAACTAGGAACCGTGCTTAAAAGCCGAGCATAAAAAAAGAAAAGAAACAAAAAACTACAGTAAGAAGAAAAGCCAAAGACCTTGCCACAAATCTGTTGCACAGTCAGCATCGGGTCACTCACGTGAGCGAGACACAACAGAACAGTGCTCATGCAAGACGCTTCCCACAAATCTTTTGCTTCTGATACGCACTATTTCCTATCCTTACAACAGGGGGGGGAGGGGAGCACACTTATGGGCACATTCAGTCACAGAAAACAACCGAAATAATGGAGAAGACATTAAAAAGACCACCAAAAGCCTTCAGCTTAAGCACTACGCATACACTTTTACATTACAACAGTAAAAAGTAGTTCTTGCATTCATTTGACACCACACTAAGGGTGCATAAAGGACAGGGAATGAGGGGATACTTCATGCATTTTTTTATGTAAGAAGAAAAACAACGAAAAAAAAAAAAAAAACAGGGATCCAAAATTACATTTACATTTACAAAGTGTTTCAGACTTTTCACCTAACACCTGTCATCAAGTCTGTGCCACAATTCTGGCACAAAGGAGTTGGCAAGGCAAACCATGTTACTGAGAAAAAATATATAGTAGAGAGGACAGAACAAAGGAGAGGAGAAAGAGAGAAGTGACACAAGTAAGAGCGCAAGTGGTGGCAAAAGCTCCGGGGGGGGGGGAAGTTTATTGTTTTTAGTTATCTGATACCCGAGACGGAGCTCTGATTGATGCTGTAGGTTGGTGAGAGATCCTCGCCTATCGTGGTCACAAGTGGCGTTCCATTACTGGTCAGGCAACTCTCCTGGAGAGCCTCGAAGTAGGTGGCCTGAACAGGCTTGTGACACTGCAACACTTGTATGGCATCGTCTATTTTAAACCATTCCCTTTTTCTCCCTGTTGACAAAACAAAGCAGGATTAGTAGAAACAATTCAAACAGATAAAACAGCCCATGAAAAACAGAATGGGAGTCGTGGACAAATTATCACAGCTTACAAAGAAAGTTTGTGTGAAAATCACAAGGGCAGGAATTTAATACCCTTGACACGAAATATGACTAAGAAAAAACAAAGCCACAGTCAAGCATGTGACTGCTTGAGAATTTTATCCGTATGACTTTTGTTTTGACAAATAAACAGCCTTTTACCAATGTTGACAGAGTCCTCCCAGTCCTCCAGTACTTCTGTTACAATTAGAACATACACGTAGGTTCTGTGTTTCCTCTCCTTATTCTAAAGACAGAAAATGACAAATTAGCCCCTTTCATTTGCAAATGCACACAAAACGCTGGGCTGAGATTTAAATATATGGGAAAACCATCAACTTGCCTCAAATATTCCAACTAAGCGACCTAAGGTCCCCTTCACACCCGCCTGCAAGATGAAGGAAAACATTAGAAAGTCACAAAAGTAATGGAGTCACAGAAGACAATTAGAAGGGCTGTTCTGATCCAATAAAAAACAAAGTGCAACAAAGGAATAGAGCCTGATAAACTGAAAATGAATGCCACATTTTTAAACTTCAGGGTTGTTTGGTTGAGGCAGATTTAGAGAAGTGCTGATGTAATTTGTATGGTAATTTTGAAACTGGTTTGTTTGTGCTGCAGTGGATTACATTACATAAGACTGTGTTTCTACACTGAAAATTCACTCCTTTTTCCTGAATCTTTTTTGTTTAGTCCTTGGAATCTCTCACCAGGAAACTAGCAGGAGATCAAATATAAAACTTAAAAGAACTTATTTCCTTAGACTTCTGTAAACTTTAACCCCTAATAACCCCTCTGAGAAAACTCAGAGAGCAAGCTCTTTTCTGTCACATATTCATATTTCCCTCTTAACCTTAGAACCAAATTCTCATTTCACCAGATAGAGTAAACTAAACAGTTTTACCTTCTGGCTTACTCTAAAATAATTTCAAAATGACCAAGTCCATAACTCCCAGGTGGATAGTTAGTGAGATTCAAATACGGAGCCATTGCACTTGCTGACATTTTTGAAGCTTCTTAAGGTTCTGGTTTCACTCTATAAATAAACGTTGACTCCACATACTGTGCCATGGCCTCTGTATTACACTTCTCAAGTCCTCGACTAATTTTAATGGAAAAGAACAGGCCCATCAAGAGAAACTCAAACCATGCCAGGGATTAAGTAATAGGCCAAAAGTCAGGCTGTAGGTTTTTTTTTTCTTCAAATAAAATAAAAGACAACCCCAAGCTCAGCATTCATGTAACTGAGAGCTGCAGGGAATCATCTTGAAAGAGGATGGACAGCACTGAGGCTGCATTACAGTTATGCAATGTGTTCTAATGCTTTAGGATTGGGGCGTATCACTAATAAGAGAATAAGGTCAGGACCAGAGAGGGTAAATAGACAGATGAACCCAGCAGAACATCTGGCCCCCTATTGGGTCCCGAATATTGACTGGCATGACTACAGTGGAAAAAAAAAAACAAAAAAACATAAGAAATTGCTTACTGGGTATTTGGCAATCACAATAGGAACTTAAAAATTCAAATTTTTCCTTTTCTATAAGGACAGAAAACTAGGCCCAGAAACCAGAGTATATGGCAAAATTTTAAGCGACACTCAAAATCACCATCATTCCTCTGGATGATTACTTTTAGCACTCTAACAAATGTTTCTAGCGGTGCGACTCCTAACTTGAGTCAATGAAAATGGGACAGCCAGGGATAAGAGATGATATCAGCCTCCATCAGTGTGATAGATCACACACAAAGAATAGCCCATGTACCTATCAGAGACCTGGCATGAACCCACTGCTGAGAGAAATCCAATAACTTTAATATCAGCGTGTCTAAGCAAAATGTCTAATTTTGACATTTCCTCCTGGATTAAAAAACTCAGTTTTTAGGGGGAGAAGAAGAGTTGTGGCATATCTAGTGTTTTATCATAGCGTCAACCTTTTGACACCATAACACTGCCTTGAAACTTGATGCTATGATACTGCTTACATGTTGCCAGGCTCCCAATCTCCCTGGTCATGCAAACAGGATGACTGCATTAACAAAAAAGATTCTGAGGGCAAGGTATTATTCCCAGTGTTAAATACAGGCACAATTTATCCGAAATGTAATACAACACTCCTCTGAGGCTACACTCGGACCAATTTGTCACACTGCAAATGGAAAGCTATTCTCAGAACTACATTTCGGTCTTCGGTCGACGTGAAGAAAGACGGGTTTTGTATTTGTGAATCAGAAGTCATTTACTATACATAATAAATAGATATAACTTCCAATATATGTTAAAATTCTGAAAAGATACAGGCAAATGACAGTAATGAGGGTTGAAAAAAGAAAATGTGAACCAACCTCTTCACACACTTCTCGAGCTGCGGCAGCATTTGGCTCCTCTTCAGGCTCCATTCCCCCTCCAGGAACAATCCACTTGTCAGGATGTCGACTGCTGCTCACCAAGAGCACCTGAAATGTATACCAAACAAGAACGAACACACACTGTAGTGTTTGGTGACTGTTTTGAAGTGAATCTGTGACATGTAAATACAAATGTATTCAGATTGTTTTGGTTTTGATTTTATTCATTCTATAGATTTAGTTTAGTTTCAAACTGCAAGCCAATTGGGTGAACTTCTGATCATGGGTTTCTGTGTGCTCCTAATGAATTTCCTTGAATCATGTTAAAAGTGGGCTCCTTCCTCAGTCCAGGACAAAACCTAATTTAGTCCAATCTGCCGTCCTGCTAACATGTTTTCTTACAAAGACACGTTTGTGCTTGACTGTTGAAATAATTCCTCTTATAACCAGATTAAACATCGGGATATTCACAAAGTTGACCTGAAAAAAGGATCAATTGTGCAAAAAAAAACAACCCAAAAACATGGATTTCTATTTTCAGATACTTCAAACCCGGGATTATAATGTTTACATCGCAACAAAAAACATAACAAATGTCACATCAGTTAGGCTATCTTGTAGTACTTTGACATAAATATTCTAACAACATAGTTGGGTGGGAATAACCAGTTGAATTTATGCTAGAGCAGAAATGTATCTAAAATACAACTCTTACATTATATCAAATGTTCGTCAGTTACTGGGAAATATTCTTATCCAGATGAGCCTCAGTAATGAAGTCAATAATCATGTGAAGAGGCAGTGTCTGCTGCCTGACAGCTGGCTCCCGGAGGAGCAGCAGCGCTAATTAGCATGCTAAACCTAGCTTTAGCATCAGCTAACAGGCTAACTCCGTGTAACGGGCTTTCAGTTGTATAGCAAAAGAGGCTTATATAACACAATCATGAGTACGACTTAAAACTCATTTATAATATTTGTACCCGTGGGGCAAACTGATAACCTTAAACCCAAGCGAGTAATCGCTAAAATGACGACCACGTTCATACATCTTTCGATTTACAGCTACGTAAGATACTGAAGACATCATAACTGATGGCGTTAGCATGGCCCACTAAGCGGAAACATCCCCGGGCTCACCTCCTCTTCCGACTCGCTCCTGAAGCACAGACAGGCGGCCCGCTTCTTGTAGCCATCCCCGTCGTACGTCCGGGTTTGGTTGGACTTGAGCTTCATCATTTCGGGAGCACAAAAATATAAAAGTACAGCTTCGTTTACCGCGTATGAAGATGACGGTTATTGACGCAAAGTCCTCCTCTCGGGAACCTCGGCGTTTTAGTTAAAAGAAATAACTTCTTCTCCGCTTCATTTTCACAAACATAGGCACATCAACGGCACGGTCGCCATTACAAGGAGCATTTACGCCCACTACGTAATGTAACATTTAAGAGCTCTAAGAGCGTAGGGATATTGCCTAACGGGGGTTGAAGAATTGGAGCAGCAGTCACTGAAGCGGAGGGAAATGCAACACCACGCTCTGACTGGAGTGAGCCGGTGTGGGAAACTAGCAATTTGTCTTCAAACTCAAACCGCAACACCACTTGTGCGAGTCTGGTTTAGGTTTCTCTCTCATTTCAGTTTCAATTGAAATTTTTAGATAGAGACTCTATCATAGAGTTTTATCAGAGCAAAATATTTACTGATTATTAAAATACAAAAACATGTTAAAATACCGGCTTCAGCACTGCAGGTAACGGACAGCGTCGGAAGGTGCTTAAAATTGACATTAGATTTAACCACAATTTACATAAAAATATTTAAAAAGTCGAATTCAGTCTTATAATTCCCAGTTGTTTGCAGACATATTATAGGCAGAAACCAAACGTCTAATTTCCATTGAATGACAAAAAAAAAAAAAAACGTTTTTGTGGGGGAATGTTCTCCTCAAGAGGAAACGTTTGTTTCACCTGGTTTAATTTCGTAAAAAATCTTCTTTAAGGAACCTTTGGCTGATCTGATTATCAATCGATTCATCGAAAAAATA